GGGGGGACACAAGGATATGGGAATGGGGGGACACAAGGATATGGGGATGGGGGGACAGAGGGATACGGGGACAGGGGACATCAGGGGCATGGGCAACACTCCAGGGACACAGGGATGGGAGAGCAGCTGAGTGGCCCCAAGACCCCCTCTGAGGAGACCCCCGTGGGGGGTGCTGGGGGGCTCACCTGAGGCTCCTCATCTCCTCCTCCAGGTTGTAACCCTTGAGCAAGTTGAACTTTTCCAGCTGCGCCTTCTCCGTGAAGGAGAGCTCGGAAATCTGCTTCAGGTACCTGGGGATGTGTGACATGGGGGGACGGTCACACCCGGGGGCTGCGACCTGCCCAAAGCACCCCCTCCCCACCCCAGGGCCCCCTCAGTTCCCTGTCCCATGGGACCTGTGGGAAGCAGCCAGAACAAACCAGTGCTCTGGATCTGGTGGGATTTGGGGGCTGCCCCTTCCCACCCCATGGTCCCGGTGGGATTTGGGAACCCCCCTCACTGTTCCATGGTCCCAGTACGATTTGGGGCCTCCCCTCACTACTCCCTGGGGTCTGTGGGATTTAGGGCTCCCTCTTCCCACCCTCTGATCCTGGTGGGATTTGGGGCTCCCCCTCTCCATCCCCTGGTCCTGGTGGGATTTGGGGCTCCCTCTCACCACCCCCTGGTCCCAGTGGGATTTGGGAATCCCCCTCACCGTTCCATGGTCCCAGTAGGATTTGGCGTCTCCCCTCACTACTCCCTGGGGTCTGTGGGACTTAGGGCTCCCTCTTCCCACCCCCTGGTCCTGGTGAGATTTGGGAACCCCCTCTCCACTCCCTGGTCCTGGTGGGATTTGGCCTCCCCCCACCCCTCCATGGTCCCAGTGGGATTTGGGGGTCACCCCTCACACTCCATGATCTCGTTGGGATTTTGGAGGCCCCGCCCTCACTTTTCCATGGTCCCGAAGAGCCACTTGGGCTCCTTGTTGAAGGGCATCACCATCCCGTGGAACCGGGACATCTTCACCGCGATCTCCCCGGACACGCCGGGGTCCCGCAGGTCCTCGGTGCGCAGCCGCCGGCTCTGGGGGCACGGGGTGTGGGTCAGGGGTCTGCCCGGCCCGGGGGGAGACACAGAGCCCCCCGGGGTGGGCTGGGGGGGGTCAGGCCCCCTGGTCCTACCGGGATGTACTGCTCCAGCCGGCCCTGCGGGAACACCCCGTAGAGCCGCGGGCCCAGCGCGCGCTCGGCCAGGATGGCGAACATGACGCTCTCCAGCACCAGCGAGTCCACGCCCTGCGGGACCCCAAAACTGAACCCCAGACCCCACACCAGCACCCCACACCCTGCGGGACCCCGAGCTGGACCCCAGACCCCACACCAGCACCCCACACCCTGCGGGACCCCAAGCTGGACCCCAGACCCCACACCAGCACCTCACACCCTGCGGGACCCCAAAACTGAACCCCAGACCCCACACCAGCACCTCACACCCTGCGGGACCCCAAAACTGAACCCCAGACCCCACACCAGCACCTCACACCCTGCGGGACCCCCAAGCTGGACCCCAGACCCCACACCAGCACCTCACACCCTGCGGGACCCCAAGCTGGACCCCAGACCCCACACCAGCACCCCACACCCTGCGGGACCCCGAACTGGACCCCAGACCCCACACCAGCACCCCACAACCTGTGGGAGCCTGAGCTGGACCCCAGATCCCACACCAGCACCCCACACCCTGCGGGACCCCCAGAACTCAACCCCAGAGATCCCACACCAGCACCCCACACCCTGCAGGACCCCGAGCTGGACCCCAGACCCCACACCAGCACCCCCATCCAGCAGGACCCCTAGAACTCAACCCCAGAGCCCACATCCAGCACTTCACACCCTGTGGGACACTCGAGCTGGACCCCAGACCCAACACCAGCATCCCAAACCCAGCGGGACCCTCAGAACCCCAGAGACCCCACACCAGCACCCCACACCCTGCGGGACCCCTGAGCTGGACTCCAGACCCCACACCAGCAGGACCCCTGAGCTGAACCCCCAGAGCCCCCGCCCAGCACTTCACAGCCTGTAGGACCCCCCGAGCTGAACCCCAGAGACCCCACACCAGCACCCTGCAGGACCCCCAGAGCTGAACCCTGACACCCCCACACCCCACAGAGCCCTGGTACCGCCACCCCAGAACCCCCACCCCGGCACCCCCACCCTGTGAGCCCCCCCAGAGCCCAGGTCCCCC